TAGTCAACCCGGTCGAATGCAGCCTTCAGATCTGTATATACAACGTCCGCCTGCGCTCCAGCTTCCATACTCCGAAGACATAAAGAAATGAACGGAGCTAGATTTGTTGAAACTGATCTCTTGGGATAAAAACCGTGTTGGTCAGGAGAAATGTAATTTCTGCAGCTAGAGAATAATGCGTCGTTGATGATGATTTCGAAAACCTTAGAGCAGGCGCTGAGTGATGTGATCCCTGATTGTGATTCTCTTGTCTCCTTTCTTGTAGATCGGGAACATGAATGACGATTTCCAACGCGTAGGGAACTCCCCCTGCTATAATGAAATATATATTACAACATCGTAACACGACACTGCTTTGGATCTAACATGGTCATTATACACCGTAACGCAATCCTCTTTGTTGGCCAAGCACTTTCCCGAATGTATGGCTGAATGTCTTATCGAATATCCGTCGAGAAGATGAAGTTGTCTCCCTCCGGGTCCCACAAAACCCCCAAGACTCGTTCGGATTCACTGGACTTGTCCACCTCTAGTGGCTTCGCCACGCACTTCGGCTTTCCGAACTCCTGCAGTACCACCTCCGAATTACTAATCCAGTTCCGTATCTCTAAACCGCTATTAGCGTGCACCGTTCTGAAATCCTTCGCTAGTTTCAATGCTTCCGCTTCGGTATCGGTACTGTCGAAGTAATCGTCAACGGAATTCTTCCGAACAATAGTGTCTGCAGCTTCAGGGTACTGCTTGGAATGTTCCTGTGCGTGCAGGTTCTTCACAAACTGGGCAGAGCAGGGTGAGCTACTAGAACCGAAGATCACGACATCCATGACGTAAATTTCTACCTCTCCCTTCGGATCCAGGAACAGAAATCGTTGCGCTTGGCGATCCATCAGACGAACTATCGCTTGGTGAAACATCTCTCTGAACGCCACACGTCTCTCACAAAAACCTGCTTATCACGACTGGTAACGACGTTATCATGTCCGGTCCTGTCAGTAGTTTATCGTTGAACGACACCCCTAATAAACAAATACCATAAACGAACTGTATTCCGGCTGGGTAAACTATCCCTGAAATGGATTGGATGATACCCCGAACACGTCGTTAAGCTCTCTTTTATGGTTATTTTTATTAGGAACTCCATGAGTTTCACTGCTGCATCCCAGACCAATCGCACCTTGCCCGGTTTCTTTGACTTCACCACGTAGTTCACGGATAGGTACCACAATTTGAGTTGATCAACAGCTTAGTTGAAGAAGCTTATTTTTGCCTGAATAAGCTCTTATTCAACATTCAATGTTTTACATAGTTGAAGATGCTAATTTCAAATAACAGACTGTAGTGGTAATTTTTATACGATAGATGGAGTAGATGAAAGCATAGAGTTGATAGTTCCGTTAGAGTACGGCAGTGTGAAGATTGTATATAGATATTAGAATAGCGAACTAGGACTGTTTCAAACACACAGTTGGTACTTGAACGGGTCGGTTTTCATCTCTTTTTGCCAGTGGTGGCGGGGGGGGGGACACCCCTCACCATCCCTCTCCAAAGGGAGAGTTTGGTAAAGAGAGATGAAAAAACCGATTTGTACCTTCCTTAAAAGTTGTCCTAGTTCGCTATTCTAATATCTATATACAATCTTCACACTGCCGTACTCTAACGGAACTATCAACTCTATGCTTTCATCTACTCCATCTATCGTATAAAAATTACCTCTACAGTCTGTTATTTGAAATTAGCATCTTCAACTATGTAAATCGTTGACTTCACGTAGAAGTAATACTAAAAACATATAGTCAAAATTCAATGTTTGTTGGGTCGTTTCCCTTCGGTGTATCCTTTAACTCCTGTTCTGTGATGCGATGTGCGTAGCTTTTGGCGAGATATTCATCCAACTGCTTCTGCAAACTCTCTCGAACCGCAGGATTCCGATTAATTCGAGCTTCCAGAGGTTCACCAGAGTTTCCAACTCCAATGGCGGAGTCACATGGCGCGATCAGGTGGATGTTGTCAATTCCTATCAACACATTCGGTGCAGCTATTTTGTAATTGAGAATCTACATATTCTTTAGGTGTTCGAACTACTGTATCAGCTTCCGAAAATTCGGGATTATATTACATTTATACAACAAGCCTTTCTAATTCTTTTCCAAAAAGATGTGTTATGTGTTACTACGGGTAAGAAAGTAGAATTTGTTCCTCGCTGTCCGTTTTTAACAACAGAGGAATTAGTACTGCGTGGAGCGTTTCCTACCTGTCACTTAGAACGAGATAGTAGGATCACTCTGCGAGTCTTACATTCTCAAAAATTGGATTTGTGGTTTTCACCACAATTTCAACATTTAAATTTCTTGGGATTTTCTTCCACAGGACAGTCGTCATTTGCGTGAGATCAATCACCACAGTTTGTACATTTAGCTGGCAGGTAGCATTTGTTTGTTCCGTGACCGCATCCCTGACACTTACGGCACTGAGTAAGGTTTTGGAAATTTCATCCAGTCTTCCTGAAGTGCTCCCACTTCACTCGGATATGGAACATGAAGCTAGCTTTTTCTAAAGCCTTAAGGTTGTTTAGTTTACTAGACTTGAAGAGAACTAAATAAAAATCATTAGAAATTCAGTTGCGCGAATTGCCAGGACAGGATTTCATCTTTATTTTGATTACTTGGTTTGGCTCAACTCCAAGTAATTTTGTCAATTCATCTGTGGGCCAGGTCTACCTTTCAAGACAACCTTGAACAGACGTTCAATTTTGGTTTCGTAAGTGAAACATTTGTGCTGCTTTTCAGTAAGATACTTGAGAAGACGTTTGAATCCGTCCAAGGTTTCAACCAATACACGGCATTCACCCCGGTGGCCAATATGAAGTGTATTTTGAATTCAGAGAAGTTCAAAAGTTCCGTGCGAATAGCATGGAAATCGGAAGTGGTTATCACAATAGGGGGGACCTTTTCCTTCTTGACATTAAACCAAGAAAGTTTACTGGAATTTTGCCTGGGTGATGGATCATTCTTATCATCCGGAAGCATATCAAGTTGATTGCTCAAATAAATTTCATCAGAAGGGGGATCAAGAGATTATCCTTTTCTTTTGCGCTTAGGCGCCATGGCACTGCCGCCAACGTTTCTCCAAATCGACTTCCAAACAAGTATCGAAGAGGGATAAGAGTCGAACAATGTAGAACATTTGCAGGTAATATTGTGCACTGAAAAGTGCTGTTTAAATTTGCTGTAGCTTTAGGTAGCAGTAACACTTCCTTCGGCAAAAAGCAAATAGATCCATCCGGACTGGAAGCTGTAGATTAGGCGTCTAAACAGGAATACTAAACCGAGACATGCTTCTGTCGTTTTTAATCGATCTCTAGAGGCTATAGAGAATTTTTTATGCGATTAAGTATATAGTTTTTCAATGTTAATTTGATGTTTTATGTAACTTTTTCAATTTCAAGTCATATTGACTTTACAAGATATAACTTCAATATTGTTGGTCCTCATGGATTATGCAATCTCGCAAAATTAGACAATAATTTCATTACAGGCACAGCCATCGATTCGTACTCCTTTCCGCCGACCAATTCCATCTTTCATCCCAAACCTCGCGGCTGTCGCTGATTTCCGATCGCAGATTATACCAAACGGTCTTTTACGTTTCCCTTAAATTACAAAATTCCAATTCCCAGCACCGGCTCGCCATGATTAATACCTCACTAATCATCCCTAATGATTATTGATGCGATAAAAACCAAATTTCAGCCAGCCCCAGTTAGACATAGACCCCCCCCCCCCCCCCCCCTTCACCCCACCCCGCACACCGGCCATTTTGTCTTGTTCCGATCCAAAAACTCGACACCAGGTGCCGCCGGAATTATCAAATTATTGACCATCAAGCCAAACTCAGCCACGCCTCGCCGAGCATCTGTTTCGCATCAAATTCAAATAAAAAGTCCTTTCCATCACCATCCTGACTGGCTGACTGCCTGACTGACTAACTGCCTGACAGAGTTGTTCTAGCGGAAGTCTTTGGCGTTGGCTGCCGTGGGAGTCCAATAACTTTCCCTGCTAACCACCGCCCTTCCCCCATTCGGCAAATAAATTATGTTATCTCATAATTTTAATTTGCGCTGCCACACCCTGAAAAATTCAAACGACAACGCCGCTTGCGTTGGAACTTGGGTTTCTATTTATTACACACCGAGGCAAGGCAGCATTATGCCCGAGGAAAAGGATTTTCTTCGAAATTCAATAATGGTTCCTCTCCCACTCTGCCACAATCTCAACGCAGCGGGCAGGATGCTTCTAATAACATCCGTATGCTCCTGGTGGCGATGGAGCCGATGATGATGATGATGGCGGGCGATACTGATGAGAGAAAGACTACAACGAAACGACGATGCCGAGGGTATAATGATGAATAATTTCCAATTAAATTGAAAGCTTCTGTACTTTTGCGATTCTTGAACTTCGTTTGTATGTATGTGTGTGTGTGGCAAAAGGACGCAGCCGAAGAAAAGAATAAGGCAACTTTAAAAGGGTGACCTTTCACCTTTGAAGTGGGAAAGTTGCTTTTCTTTCTCCGACCAGTCCCAAGTGTTATAAAGTCATGTTTTTTATTGCATCTGACACTTTAGCAGACACGTTTTTTTCGGTTTGCTTCTTTTCACACTGAAATAAAATTGCAAGACATCGTATTTCATTTGATTAAATAACGCTTACGTTCCAACATTATTGGTGGAGTCTCGTCGAATGTTAGAGCACTGGAAAACCGCAAACGCGAAGCGCTCCTTCAAGCTTTTCACTTTTCCCTTCGCAAAAAAATAAAAGTCTAGTAGGTATCGCAACCTGCTCACCAACGTGCTGTTTTAATAATAAAAGAGTCTCTGCGTAGTCCACCGTGCACGTCCGTATCGTTCGGAGAGTTATCAAGCTGTCGGTTTCGACAATGCACTCCTTGATTCCGAGTAATGTATAATTGATTTTTTTCCGTTCTCTGCTTTTTTCTTTCAGCTCCTCCGTCGTCAATCGAAATTCAGGGCTACAATCACAACTCCAAGGTGGAGGTCCGCGAAGGACAGGATCTAACGCTGACCTGTGTGGTGGCGAATTCTAAACCGGTGGCACAGATCGTGTGGTACCGGGGGAAGTCCGAGTTCAAGTCCGGTAAGTGTTATTTAAGGCATTCGGTTGTGTTTTATTGAATTTGGAATACACGGTACGTGACGACTCAATCAATCAATTATAAAAAAATAATAAACTATTTTCACCCTATTCAAACAATATTTTTCGACACAAAAAATGTGTTGTGTAGTTTGAAAACTGTGCTTAATAAGTAAGTTTCTTATGAACTGCATCAAGCTAAAAACAGCTAAAACTAAGCAAACTGACCAATCCATTGTGCTCAAACGGTTCCAAATTGGGCCCTGATTAGCCTCCCAAAACTTGAACTCATTTAGTGAGAAACTGACTTGGCACAAACCATTTGAAGTTGATATGGAAATTACTATGGGAAAATAAAACTTTTTGTTCATTGGCTTCTAGCTTTTTTTTAAATATTGTACTGTTAACAAATTCTATTGCCATTCTTACGGGAATTTTTATCAGCTACAACTTTGCAGAAAATCGTTTTTCAGCAAAACGTCAAATTAATTGTTTAAGAGATTGATAATCTTATGGCAGGATTAAGCAACTGTATTGTGGGCAACACTGTATTCTGCGGTGTGACATACACTGTACACAAACATCATCCTCTGATCGAATGAAACCTCAGACCATTCAAAACAAAACACCGAAATCGCTTTTTCGAATGATGGCTGCAACCGGAAGACGGTTGTTTTGAAATCAGATGATTTTCCTCTCGAACACAGGATGAAAATTGTTATGAGAAGGGATAGGGCCTTCAGTTGAAGTGCGTAATGCTCTCTGCAGAATGACTGTCATACTAAATGGAAATGCATATGATATTGGTTCAACCCCATAACGCAAATCATTCAAAACGATGATGTAAATAATTCTATAGAATATCATTTGCTGATCTGAGCTGATAAACGAGCTGGCAGCATATGCATCGCTATCAGAGCTGTTACAAACATAGGTAAAGGATGAAAACCAATGTTTGGCTAATTCGTGGTGGATGAGGTTTTCTCCACCACGAAATTTTTTTCTATCTATAATGGAATGGCTTATTATGGCTATTCAGTATGGAAATGTAGATAATCAAATTACAAATCTAATTAAAAGCACTTGCATGTCATACTATTCTTAAATGTTTGTCCTCTGAGTGCCGTATGTTTTATGGCTAATTTTCAAACGAAAATCATCCTGTATTTGGATGGCAGTCATATGGATGTTTATCATCTGACGACGAAAGAAAATCATCCGAAATTCGAATGCATATTGTTAAAGGGCTCGAGCAATGCAATAATCATTCGAAGTATTGCGGATGTTTTGGTTCAGTGTATAAGACCAGTCAGATGTTGTCTCTTCACGCTAACTCCAGAGTACCCATTAAGTGTACTCATTTTTTGAACTGGTTCTAAAATATCAAAAAAATATTATTTTTGTAATATTGAAAAATGTGTACTTTTTCTCCTTTTTTTAAAACATGCTCTGCAATAAAAATGAGTAAAAATTATTCATTACTGATTCAGTGCAATGTGACGCCATTTTTAAAAACGCAGAAGCAAGCGCAGCGTATAAGTATAAATCTTCAAATATATTTTTTAAACTTTTAATTGCACTTCTAGGATACAGAATCTTCCCTCGCCGAGCAACTTGCAAGATACGTTGCGTATAAATTTGAGCAAGTTGCACCACATCGTTGTCACAACTAAAAAACTTAAAGATTTTGTTGATATTGTTAGCGTCAAAACTATGAAACATAGAACAAGACAATCGGTTAACCGATTAAGTGTTATGTTTCTGGAATCCTTTAAAGCTGACAATGGACTGAAATTTGTTTGTTGGTTACATTTTCATCATCCACTAAATAAAAAATGTTTTATTATCAATTTAAGAAATCGATATGTTTGATAATTTGAAGTTGAGTTTTGTTTGATGATTTTAAATTGAATTTCCAGAGACGAACCAGACAATGGCCTAGCCAGTCTCTTTAATAAAGTAACCTAATCCATTTTAAATTGAATTTTGACGTAAGATGATAATGAGCCCTTTACTATTTTTTTCCAAAAAACGGGTACTTTTTACACATTACTGAAAAAGTACGATGATTCATAATTACCCATTTTATGAAGTACTCGTCAAATACTCATTAATGAGTAAAGTTGGCTTTACTCAATTCATGTGTTAAGCCACTTTTCTTCGAAATGCGTACTTTTTTACTCATTAAAGGGTACTTGAGAGTTAGCGTGTTCAAATTTGTGCACGGCCGATGAGATCAACCCAAATAAAAAGCTCAATAATCTGCTGAAAAATGAGGAAACTTTACGAAAAATTTACTCAGTCTAGTAGTTGTACCAAAGGATCGAGAAAATCTAATCGTTACTGTTGTAATATTCTGGAATTTTTTACTTGAAAAAGTGCGAAATAGCTGGAAAACATGAAGCAAATTTACTCATTGCTGAATATCTGCACTTTTTGCGATGAGTAAAGGAAAATCAAATTTGGGTTGGTTGGTTAGTCAACTCATAAATCACATAAAGTGCAGGAACTCAGCGATGAGTAAATTTGCCTCATGTTTTCCCAGGTTTTTCCAGGTTTTTCCAGGGAAAAAAACCTGAATTTGAGAAAAGTAAAGATTGGATTCACTCAGTCTATAGGTACTACTCCGAGACTGAATAAAATTTTCGTCATTTTCCTCATTTTCCGGCAGATTTTTTAGGTTTTCCACAGGAAACCATGAGCCAAATTACCTCATCGCTGAGTTCCTGCACTTTTGGTGATTATGAGTGAACTAAACTCAAATTTGGGTCGCCGTGTGCACACGTTATTTCTAAACATCCAATTCAGTAAGATCTAATCATTTCTAATAGAAGTAGAGCTGCCCAATATTGAGCAAACAAGATTGTAACTAACAAGATAACAAATTAACATTCGGATTCAGGTGTTCATTCGTCATCTTGTCAGTCCCTACTTTTGTTACTAAATGTTGGTGGATATGAGTGGATCCTATTCAAATTTGGGTTGTTCAGAAAAAGCGTGGATCCTGCGCTGTTTTTGCCCATAGACCTTTTTGACCATTAATTGTCTTTCTCTATCTAGCACACATGGAGAACGGACGGTTTGTTTTCCCTCTAATTTGTTTGCCTCTTACTCGCGCTCATTCAATTTAAATGGTGCAATAGTGTACGCCGATTAAACACGTTACACATGTCAATATATTCACAAGGAGGATAGTGCAACAGGCGCTTTCAACCTTGGTCTATACATAACCCTTAATTTTAAAAATCACTATTAGAACTGGTAGGGGAAACAGCCGTATTGTTGCGGTACGTTAGCAGCGTTAGAAGCCTATTGTTGTGTATGGAGGTTTCCATACACAACAATAGGCTTCTAACGCTGCAAACGTACCGCAATAATACGGCTGTTTCCCCTACATCGTGAAACAAATTTGGAAACTCTGGCCGATTAGCCCTGTTGGCGTAGCTATTGGGGGTGCCATAAACAGTGATGTCACATTTTTTAAATTTAATTCTTTATTCTTGCGTAACATTTGAAAAGGGCCTATCCCCGTTGATCGATTCTCTTCATCGACTTTCTTTTTGATTTACCTCGGCTACATAAACGAATTTCTCGCCAAGCTCACAGGACAGTTCGACAAGATGATGTTAGCTGTATAGTCGCTATATTAATAGCCTGGAAAAGAGAATCTCGGGAACAAATTGAGCTGTCAAATAGCTGTTTCACCAATTGAGCTGTCAAATCACTCTTAACAACAGAAAAGAGCACATCAGCTATTGCGAACAAAACTTCCGGAACCCGTTTTCTCGTGGCTTAAGGCACGGCTACACCATCTTTGGACTTGTAAAAATTTGCCCTATCCGATGGTGCCGGTAATTTGCATTCGATAGGCCAGGAAAGAATAATCAATGTTTTGTCTTTAAAACGTGATAGTATCATTTCAATTGTTGGTCTACAATATACTGAATTGGTTCCGCTTTTTGATAGATCGAAATTCTATCCTAAAGGAAAAAAGCGAACATAGTTAGCTTGCGCCTGAATCAACACACTGGATGAGAAATTCATTTGCAGGCATGTTCAAAAAAGACAAGAACAGTTAAATTTAAAATGACCCCGAAATGATTTCGGTAACCTATTGATTGAGTAGTAAGGCTTGTACCTGAAAAAAATGCACCATTTTTATCCGTGGAAAAAAAAATGATGAAAATCTGGGTATAACTAGTTTGGAGTGAATTGTTTAAATAAAATTCAGAACAATCGGTTCAGTGGTTATTGAGATGTCATCGAAACAAGAAGAAACTCGTCGGAGAATTTTGCGCGCCGTCATGGAAAATCCGATTGCGACCATGAGATGGATCGGAAAACAACTGGGATTCACCCATACAACTGTGTCTCGGGTGGTAAAATCGTTTAAGGAGTCCCAGACGACCGAGCGGTGGGCTGGAAGTGGAAGAAAATCGAAGACAGCTGACCCTGTGAAGGCCCGGAAGGTGTTGGATTATTTCAAGCGTAATCCGAACCTTTCGATTCGCGACGCGGCTCTGAAGGCAAAGTGTTCCGCCTGGTTCGTTCAGCAAACCATGAAACGAGCTGGGCTTCGTGTATTCAAGGTCCGTAAGGCACCGAACCGGCGTGATCAACAAAACATGGCGGCCAAATCCCGCGCAAGGACGCTGTATCGAGAGTGGTTAACGAAACCGATGTGTGTGGTTATGGATGACGAAACCTACATCAAGGCAGACGCAAAGCAGATACCGGGGCTGGAGTTCTACGTTGCCAAATCACGGTTTGATGTTCCGAAAGACATAAGGAAGAAGAAAGTGGACGAATTCGCCAAAAACTACTTGCTCTGGCAGGCCATATGCCAATGCGATAAACTGAGTAAACCGTACATCACAATGGGTACCATCAACAGCGAAATTTACCGCACCGAGTGCCTCCAGAAGCGTCTGTTGCCCTTCCTGCGGTCCCATGGAGGCGAGACATTGGCATCATGCCATTCAGCGCGATCGACGTTGGATTGG